AGCAGGAATTCAACCAAAGAAATTTCTATTGGAACATCTAAGATAACCTGTAAGTATCAACCACTTCAGTATGTAAACTTTTCTTTAAAAGTATATGAAATTTGAGGTAAGTTGGATTTTTTAAAAGTTGACAACCTAGTTTAACATCTGACCGTACTGAAGGTTAAACACTGTAAAGCCCCTGTAAAATAAAGTCCTTTAGAAATTGGTTTTCAGCCCAGTGTATATTGTAGAATCTAAGTTTTGTTTTTTTCATATCAGTTTTCTACCAATTCCTACCATTTTTAGTCCCTTTTTCCTTTTGTGATTTCAATGTATCCAACATTGGTTTGCCTGTATTGTGCTATCAATGCAGCATAGTTTCACTGGATACATTAATCACTAGTGAATTAGCTTTATTTCTGTAATCCTTTGTCGGTTCTCTGGTCCCTGTGCCTATGGCTGAAGAACACATATCAGGTAAGATTGCTTTTTAAAGTTGTCTTAAATGCTTTGTTTAAAAGAAAAGAAAAAACAAACCAGAGAAAATGCTGTTTCATTGTTCCAGTTTTTAATTTCATTTCAGTGATGGTAAATGTGGAGCCAAAGGGGATAAACCTGTTTATTCTGCTCAATATTTGTTCAAAAAAGTGTTGTTCTGGCATCCATCAGGTTGAAATTTGGTATATTTGGTTGTTGTTTGGTGTATTTGTGAACCGTGTACTTGCTCTTCCTCCCAGAAACATAGCTTATAGGCAAGGTTAATCCAGTGTTGGCGGTCCATGTCCTAGCACAGCATCTGTAAGTTAACACATAACAATTGCTTCCAAGGATGGATTTATCTATCATTCTGTTGATGTATTTTCTATTGTCTTATAGGAATTCTGGTCATAAGAACTGTTTCTAATTGAAAAAAAAAATGGCAATTTTGTACAATTTTTAGTAAAACTGTAGCAGGTAACCCTTTAGTTTCTGTGTTTCAAAAGAGCTATTTCCAACCTTTTTTTTAACTCTTTCCATCTTGCAGTGGTGGAAGTTAAGGATTCCATTCTGCAGAGTCCAGTTCTTACCAATGAACTGTTAGAACTTTTTTAGGGAGGGAAAAGGGGAAAGGTTGCAGCTCTCTTCACTGTTTAACCATATGCACTACGTGTAAGTGGATAAATTTCTTTACCCGAGTTTTCATATAGGATGGTTTTGGTCTGACAGACTTTTTGGGAAATGACTTGCTGTCCCAGTAAGCCTTCCCCTGAGATATATTTTCCTAGTTGAACAGAATTAATTTTATCAGCTAGAAGTTCACTTTACTTGTACCCAAGTGGCTTATAGGGCCAGTGGCATTTGTGGCCCACCTGAATCATGACTGGCGGTGCACTGTGTATGTGCAGTTTAGTCAGCTTGTAATATGAGGCCAGCCCCACTCTGCTAAGGTTGGAGATTGCTGGTCTGTGTAGATCTATGCTTTTGCACGAAACTTAGTCTTGTGATTGCTGCATTTTGATTTCATACTTACGAGTTCCAAAAAAACCCACCAAACCCTGTTTAATATTTTAAAATCAGTGGCGGTTTTGGTATTTCCATTACCAGCCTTGTGTGTTGCGCCGGGAATGTCCAGTTCCTATGACTACAAAATTAACTGTGAAAGTTCTCTTGTTGGTTTTTAGAAACTGGAGGAGGAAAAAGGCAAAAAGGAGAAAGAAAGACAGGAAATTGAAAAAGAACGCAGAGAAAGAGAAAGGGAACGGGAGCGTGAACGAGAAAGGAGGGAGCGTGAAAGAGAGAGGGAGCGTGAACGAGAGAAGGAGAAGGAACGGGAGCGTGAACGAGAGCGAGATAGGGATCGTGACCGAACTAAGGACCGAGACAGAGACCGTGAACGAGACCGAGATCGGGAAAGGAGTTCAGATCGCAACAAGGATCGGAGCAGATCAAGGTAAATAAAGACTTGAGTTATTTTTTTCAGTTTTTCCTAGTACTGTTAACTAAGTGCATATAGTTCAGCAGATCAGCTGCCATTCAAAAGAGCCTGGTCCTTTTGGAAGACCATGAGGAAATAAAAATTTTAGAAAATGTTGTATTTACACAAATTGGAAGAATACATGATTCCCTGCACAGCACAGGAATATAAGGACTGCAATACACAGTAAGCAACAAGCCAACCATTCAACCAAGCATAGGGGTTTTATCTCAAATCTCTCTTGGATTTTTGTGGGTAGCTTTATTCCTAGTTGAGGTTCTCATAAGTCTGCGGTATCTTTTAGCTTACGTAGGTTTTACCTTCTGGTATGTGGGGTAGTTAGGTTTTTGGTTGGGGTTGTTTTTTGGTTTTTGGGGGGTTTTTTTGTTTTTTTGTTTTTTTAATAAAAGCAAGGGGATTTCTCTTTCAGTCTTAAACTGTAAATAATCATATCAGGCTCTAGATGCTGCTTTTTTCCTCTTCACCATAGGAAAAATAGCTTTCACTTTAAATCATCTTGTCAGTAGGGTCAGTTGTCTGTAAGCCATGTACGTATGAAGGATTTATTACACATACCCTTTACTTGTGAGCTTGTTAGCTGTCATTTATGGAGAACTACTAACACAATCTGATAAGAATTGCTACGTGCTCACGGTTAGTTTCTGTAACTATTTAATGGTTAGTGCTCCAACAGCTACTTTTACATAAAGGAATTTTTGAATATATTAGAAGTATTGATTTATGCCCATTGCTATATCAGCCAATCATCTTGTATAATTGCAGAAGAATAACTTGCAGGATGTTATAAATAGTGCATTATGTATTTGGAGTTAAATCATTTGATTGAGTGGAGTGGAAAGCTCTGTACTTAACTTTGGACTTTTTCCTTCCTTTAGAGAAAAAAGCAGAGACAGGG